GGGGGGGGGGGGGGCTACGTGAACTCAAGGTTGACGTCTTTTCTTTGTTTTGGAGAATACAAGAAGAAGAGAAAAATGTTCTTCTAATGATTTACCAGTCTAACTCGTTTTACGTATTGTCCTGAGAATCACCCGTCTACTAAAACCGACGTAGTCTGATAGACAGGTCTAAGGTAGTGCATTCCATTAAAGCAATCCTGCCTACTTTCTTTTTAGCTTTTATGACTTTTCCGGAGCATCTTTCACTAGTTCAAATTTCTAAATTCGTCAAGAGCATTTCAAAATCTATCGATGTACCTGAAACACTATTCGAAGTTCCATGAGGATTTGATACCCTTTATCGGTTATGTACCCACGGACAGTCTTTAGTCTCGCCTAGGAAGAAGTCTGAAGTCTGTTCACAGAGCCGCCGTTCAACAATTAACCTCACAGGGTTGAGTTGGTACGGTTTTATGAACCCCGTTCATATCGAAGCTCTTCTCGGAGTATGAGGAGGTCAAGTTTAGAAAAAATTGGAAAGTTAGTAGGAATATGTTCGTGTGTAACCGCAGAAAAGGTTGAAAAATGTTGATATCCTACAGGAACAATGTAGAAGTGGATGTTAGTACCTGGCCAATCCATGTCCTTGTCGTTGAGCGTATGGAACATAACCAGACCTTTTTGCTTCCACAAGATAGTTGCTTCCGAGGTAATCAGCTTCATCCTACAAGAAATACAACATTTGAACTCACCAAGCCTTACTCGAAGGGTCACCGAAATAAGGTGAAAAAGCGATAAATTATCTCAAAACCTCGTAGCCATATTATGAAAAAAGGATCTGCTGGTAATGACATTTCGGCTCACTAATTTAACAAAATCACTGAATTACAAACTTACGAAAAGCATTTGAACGATGAGGTAGTTGATGTATTTTTCTCTGTAGTATTGATTAGCAAAGAGTATGTTCAAAAATCCAATATATGACGGTTGTGTAATGATCACCTTAATAGCAATGGTGGACTCTGTATAAAAGCAACAATTGTGTAGTGAACTTCAAATTTTGGATAAATATCAATAAGTAAGAATATCAAAGGAAATTTACTCCATTTTCACATTGCCTTTGCCCCAATCGTAACAAAATAAAACTATTTCCTGTCGTCTACTCGCAGTTAGTTACCATATGATGTGGCACCCGAAGACGGAGTTGGTTGACGTCAGAATGCTTGATAAGGAATTCTGGCGGATGGTATGAGCAATTCTGTCCTACCAGGCAAATCTGGTACCAGTAAAGAGGCTCTGGAGGAATGGATGGTTCAGTTTGCCTGAGCTTGTAACAAGATCCGGGACTTAACCCCACGACCAAACGTGTCTGATAGTGCGCCAAGTGCCACCACACCCACCGATGCCCTCTCAATACGTAACTTTTGATAGCGTGTGGTTTTTCAACCTTTGAGCCTATTTGTGATTTTTCGTACTGAAGTTTCGACATTCTCAGTACTTCTCTGATCTCATAAGCCAGCTAAATATCTATTTTTGAGTGTTAGCAGGTTAGGGCTGGAAATAACCATGCGTGCGTCTCCTTTTAACAAATCCTACAAATCTTTCTCTCCACGACGTGGCACCATCGAAGACAAGAGGTTGGAGCAGGAGCAAAGTAGGAGCTGATGGCAAACATCCGAGCTGTTGGCGGGTGTGTTTTTCAGGTAGACAATCAACTTCTTCAGATGGAAGCCGTTTCGAAATGGTTGAAGCACAAAGAAGTGGCTAACCCTGATCGGTCCAACTGCTCATCTCTCGATCGATGGTCTGGAGCTGTTAGCTTAGGTGAAGACTTTGATTCTGGTTAGGGAACCCCAATAGCTCTTACCGATGACAAAAACCCCATACCCTATGAAAAATATATCCCGCTCCCCCATCATTATAGCGGCTAACTATGACCAGCCCGTTTGACTCAATGAAATAAAAGCTTCCGCAGTCAACTGGGAAGACTTCTTATCCACATAGAAAGTCTTCTGCTACATTTATGTTAGTAATTTTGGCATTTTTCAAAAAAAACCTTACTTCTTTGATAAGCGGTGAGCCGACTGATTCCACAAGTGCACGAGTATAGTTTTTGAGATTGAGATTTGGATAAATCTGGTTCAAAGTCTCCACATCAAACTTGTTATACTGCTGTGCATAGTTGCTTGAAAAAGGCGATAGTATCCAAACTCAGTCAGTAAGAACACCTTAACAACTTCGAGAAAAAAGAAAACACCTCAATTCTTTGTCTGGCCATGTCGCTTGTGCAATTTTTTGTTCCATTTTTGCGACTTCTTGAGCAGCCTGTAACAGGGCAAGGTAGAAACTGCAACAAAATACAAAATAAAAAAAACAGGTTCCNAGTTTTCGAAAATTGTTTGACTGGAGGGATTTGTCATGAATGATAAAACATAAGGAAAATTTGAGAAACAAAATAAAATTCGAGTAATCATGTGATATACTAGTTAAGGGCGGTAGTCAGATCCCGGCTAGCTACCATATATGGGTGGTTGGGGATTAAATCTAACAACAAGGTAGGTAGATACATATCATACCTAGTAGACGTTCTATCTATCGCTTTGGAATAGTTCAACTGATAACGAACTAGTAAAGGTAAAGGTGACGTGGTTTGGGCGTTGATCAATCCCATTTTGGTATGCGCCCCGCATCCGACCTACACTCAGAATCGTAGGAGCGTATTGAATTATTGTTGGCAGATGCAATGGTTTGCCTGGGCCGAAAAAATCGGTGATTTTACCCTCCCAGACGAGTCCGTCCGGAACTGACTTGCCCCGAATGGCGATGGGATGACCTTGCTGTTCCAGAGAAGTATTGGTCGGGATCCGAACTCGGACCATGTGAGTGTGCGTGACCGTGCACCAATTGCTATCACACCAACGTCCCCATATACAGTCAAATCCATACAACAAACAAAAAAGGGACATTTTAGTAAAAGGAAGAATTTCTGGTGTAACTAACCTCTTTGATCGACTTCTGGTATTTCTCAGAATCAACCACTACGTCGGCAGCGAACTTCTTCATGACTTTTAGAATAGCTTTTGAACGATCATCCAATTCGTTAGCGAACTGGGGTTGGACATAGAATTCTCGAGGCATTGGCAATGTAGGCTGAAATTAGCTAAAATCAGCAAAGCTGTTTGATTTCCGTGGTCGAACACCGCACGAAACTCCCATTTCCAGCGAGCGGAATATTTACGCCCTGACCTAAAGACACACCCTCGCATCGCCACGCTTTTATACCACCGTTATTAATTCGGTTAAGTACTCACCTGTGAAATATACAGTGCGTTTTTGGTGATACTCTTATGATCAACAGTCACCCATGCAGACATGAACGTTCCGAGAGCTCGTTCTTGTTCGACATAGCCGATTGCTCCAAAAAGATCCAAGTCCGAGTCGATTTTATGTTCAAGGAAGGGTACGCCTCCAAATCTGAACACAAACTAAAGTTCTCCTTCCATAACGTAATGGAAAAGTAAGTATTCAGGTACAAACCGCTTTTTTATGTATTCGAGAAGCTCTATAGCACTTTTCTTCGACTTCTTTCCACTATGATCAACGCACGATTGATAAGCCTGAATAATGGTTGTTCGCATGTGCCTTTATGACATTTTTGAGAGCCACTCGATACTTTTCTCACAAATTTTAGAGGTAGTATACGAATTTTTCATCTTAGTAACATGGAAAGTCAAAAACACAGTCAGGAAATCCTAATTTTTTTCTATATGTTCAGTTCGGGTTGGGTTAGGGTTACGGCAGAATCAAGCTGTGGTGGTTTTTCTCCCCAGTGATGTGGTCAATCCATTCCCTTCTCTATGTTGTTCACCGACGACTTGATGTCCTATAAGTATCCGTTACCCAAGCTATTTTGAAAATTGGCTTCCCATTGTACAATAGGGGCCGTCTGGGTCGCGATCCCAACCAGCGACGTCACTGTACTACTGGACCGTTTGCTTTCTTCTTCGTCTCCCGTTACGTGTCATTTATGTTTGGGTGCTCTACTTCGTTTTGTTTTGTGGTGCCTTTTGGATTGTAACGAACTGGTTTTTATTTAGTTCCTTTTCAGTGCATTTTTGTCTTATCAGTTAGTTTAGAAAAAATCGAAGCCATCACGTACTGCTTTAGTGATTCTTTCTGTCTCTGACCATTTGTCGTCGTCGATATCGACATCATTGAGTGCTTCGATTATGTCCTCATTCACTTTTTGCTGTTCCTTAGTGTATGTTGTAAAGCGACTGACGCCCAGTTTTTCGAGATCAACCTGTTCCATGAACTGAAGAAGAAAAATTTATCAAATATCCCCTATCATGGAAACATTAGCCCAAAGAGAGGTTCCGAAAGGGGTGGAATACTGTCCAGTGAAGGAAAGTAAGTGGAACTGTTAACAATTCAGCGTAGTACTCGGTCTCTTTGACTTTTTCAAGGGTTCACAATTTGACACGGCCTATTCGGACGAGTTTTTCAAGACTGTAGGCCTTACTATGGGGTTGAAGAATAACTGAAAGCTGAGCATATCGGAATATAGTACGGAACGACAGTAGTCATAGCGCTGACTTCTGGAGGGATTTCATTTTTGCCATCGTTCCCCACAGTATGCAAAGCCGTCGAACATGATGGTCGAAAGAGATCATTAGATAGAAGGCTCAACTGCGGGCGAGAATGTCGACCCTCTTGCAATCCAAATCTAGTGTTCTTTGGTTGTCACCCACAGTGATAGGGTCCCAGAACCCCCTTCTCAGTACCTAGTAGCCGAACACAACCAGAAAATCCAATTGAGTGAAATTAGACATTTGTACATCGAGTTCCAAAGATTTCCAAAAAAAAAATACCAATCAGAATTCACCTTATTGCATGTGAAACTGTAGAAATCCTCACATGGATCGAAACGTTCATCTATTCCAAACAGAAGATTATCAGCTGCCTCCTAGAAGAGGTGAAAAGTTGAAAGAAAAAGAGAAAACTAAGCGCTTACAACTTTAAATACTATTTATTATACAAGGAATGGCAATTAAGGAGGCGATAGCAAAGGGGTAGCGATTGCTAATACTAAGTACAATTTCAACACCACTACGGTTATGAATTCAAGAAGGAGTGAGCTTTCAAGAAAAAAAGGCCAAAAATACGGAAGCTCCTACACAGGTGAGGAGAGCCCGGTGTGCTACACACTGACAGGGACGAATGGGGACGGCTCAAACTCGAGTAAATCGATAGGTAACGGGACTACAGGTGGCACCGTGTTCAAGTCCACTGAAGTAGTTCCGCTGCATTTCTTCAGAATTTGCTCAACTTACTAAGGATCCAGATTTGGCTGAAAAGTTCCATGAAAATCCCTGTGATCAAATGAGATCTCCCCAGGGAATTAGGTTTTTTGACCGAAAAATGAAGAGACGCGTTGAAATAACAAATGGGATCGGATCAAGAGGAAACTTCTTCAAATTTGTTTGTTTTATAGTCCCTTATGAACTCGGTTGCGTTCTTCCGCTGACATTTACAACGTTTTTCCCCCCGAACGATCGAAAACGTTGCGAAATCCCTACTTTACTGCACATTTGCACTTTGGTATCGAATGCTGGAGTTGCAGTGATCAACTTTATTCCTTTCAAGTAAGTAGTGACCACTTGCCTTCCATTCGACTGANTTTTCCCCCCGAACGATCGAAAACGTTGCGAAATCCCTACTTTACTGCACATTTGCACTTTGGTATTGAATATCGAATGCTGGAGTTGCAGTGTTCAACTTTATTCCTTTCAAGTAAGTAGTGACCACTTGCCTTCCATTCGACTGACATATTAGCGATTCCAATATTGGGACAAAAGACGGTTTCGTTACCATATGGGGGAGTTGTGGGGGAAGGTGTGGGAGTAGGGGATGTGGTAGTTGTTGGTTTGGTGGGTCTTGTAGGAACAGGAGGACGTGTCGGATAGGTAGTCCACGGTCGCTTGGTAGTTGTAGTAGTAGTAGTAGTAGT